AGTGAGTGCTGACTGCTGCACTAGTATAAGCACTCGATGGTCATTATCTCCCTTGAGTTCCAATGCATAGAAAACACCCAGCTGATGAAATTCTAAGTAATTTGTGCGGCATCCCAGTTGGTAAGTGGTAGAGCCATTGTTTGAATGACGCACTTTCTCTCCTCCAGTCTGTGCTGGAAACCAATGTGCCACCCTGCCCTCTGAAAGGCCCTCGACATCCCTTAAAATACAGGTTATGTGTGTTTAAAATTTTTAAGGGAATAAAGCAACACATTACGTTTGTAAAACTAGAACAAGGATAATTATTCAAATGGGTCAAATAGAACAGTTAAAAATTAAACTTACAGCCACTAAATTCTAAGAAAAAAAGCACCTCATTTTAAGAGTAAAGAATAGAATGGCCACAGCTAAATTCAGAATTAGTGACCTGGAAGATAACGCTGAGAAAATCCTTCTGGATGCTGCTGGAATTCGAAGCGATGAAACGCACGACAGTGAGCAGTGGCGGGTGGGAGGTGGTGTGTGTGGCCCACTGACGCTCCAGGAAAGAGCCGGCACAGCGAGCAGGAGGCACGTGCCCGGGGTATCCCAGACCGAAGAGAGACACGGGTGTCACGCTGGGCGTCCTCGGTGGCAGGCAGGACTGGAGACAAGGACACCTGAGCCGTCTACAGCAGGAGTGCAGGGAAGACTGGACGGCTCCCAGAGAGCTTGGGACAAAGGGCAGCAGCAGGTGCCAGGATGTGGAGACACGTCACCTTCAAAATGCCCAGTGAAAAGCGACTGGCCTCCTCAACTAAGACTCTACAACCAGCCTCTTTTTTTTCAGAAACATTTGTAAAGCCCACTCCCCCAGATCCTTGCTGAAAGAACCACAAACACATGAAGGAAAATGAACCGAGAAAGAAAAGTGGGAGACGAAAAAGGAGCAGCAGGCAAAAAAACCCAGCGCAGCTTGAGGACAGGCCTGCGCAGCCTCTGCGAGCGGCTGGCAAAGGAGCCACAGCCTGCTGTTCTGCGGGTTCTTCAGCGAGAAGACGCCACGGGAGAAGGGAGTGCCTCTGGGGGGTGGGGCTTCCTGTCGCTCGCGTGGGGGGCGGGGAGAGCCACAGTGATGCCGAGACTGTCACAATTAGAGAATGTGTACCTACCAAATGAGTGAAGCTTAGTGGAATAAGGAAACAGTGTTGCAGAGAAAGAGGGACGTGTCCACACACAATAGGCTTGTAAAAATACGTTCACATGTACGATTGAACACAGGTAGAAAAAAAATTATGCTTACCAGTTACGAAGGGACATAGACTACCGGGTTGGAAACATGTACTTTTTAATTTAAAAAAAAAAAACAAAAACAATTGATGAACACAGGCAACTACCTACTAATCAAACAAAGGCGAGGTAGACATGTTAATATCAGACGAAAATCACTGAAAAAGACCATGATGGATATTGTCATATCGACAGATAAAAAAACCCCACCAATTAAAAGGTACCAAGATCATCACCTTGTAGGCATCTAACAGTTTCATGGTGTACAAAGCAAATACTATCTCAGTTACTAGAAGAAAGTGAAAATCTTTCTCATGTTAGGAATAGTAAATTATCTCCAGCAGGAACTGATAGATGAAAAAAGTGTGGAGATTCTAATACGATGCATAACTACACCAGAGATAGCTGCGTCAAACCTTGCCTGCAGCTAACAAAAAGAAAGCATATAAGGAATATTTACCAAAAACGAATAGACAACAAATTTCAACAGAATTTAAAATTTACAGACCTCATTATCTTAACTAATGCAACTAAGTTATAGGTCTACAATGAGACGTTTGACTTTAAATATTATACTTTTCAAAAGTAAAATTCAAAAACGAAGCCCTCCCCCCACTTCTTGGTAATCGGGTTTAAATGACACTGCTGAAAGGTAGCACGTGCAAGTACCGATGGGTTAGGCTAAATATTTTATAATTCAGCTCCTCTCGTGTCCTCCAGTGAAACAGGGTTGGGCTGAGTGTCACGGGGCCCTGCAGTCCTATCCGCCTGTGACACGGCAGGGCCTGGAGGGGCTTCGTAATTGCTTCTTGGCACAGCGCAGGGATTGGCGGAGGGCTCCAGAGTCCCAGTGGGTCCTGCTGACCTTACAGATGAGCAGCCGGCGTGGGTGGGGCCAGTGGGAGGGAGCCCGAGCCTGGGACAGGAGGCAGGCGGGGGCCCCCCCTTCTCCCCAGAGTCCCTGCCAGCGGCCCAGGCCCGGATTGGCTGGGGCGGCGTTAGGAAGGGCCTCTCTCTATATAGTCAGCAGAGGGAGGCACCTCGGAAGTTTGCAGACTGCTCTGCTGTTAAGAGTTGAGCTCGAAGCGAGGAGCCGCCTGCCAGGATGTGCAAAGGACTTGCAGCTCTGCCCCAGTCGTGCCTAGAGAGGTGAGGGCCTGGCCGTGGCTGGCGGGTGGGGACTGGGGCGTCTCCTGGGGAGGACGCCACTGGGCTTGGACAGGAGCAGGTGGGACAGGTGGCCGCAGCCCCCACAGCAGCCCAGACTGCCCGGGGCCTGGCCGGCTCCGCGCTGGTGGGCAGGTTATCTGGTCTCTGTAAACGCGGCTCCTGAGTGTCGCTCACTGTGGCTTGCGCAGGCTGAGTGATACTGTGGACAGCGTCAGAACACCGTTGGGGCCTTGGGCCACACCCCGTGCTAGTGTGCCTGGGCCGGGGAAGGCGGGGGTCGGGGTCTCAGGTTCTCGGCATCCTGACCCTGTTAGACGCAGCAGGTAGCTGGACAGAGGAGAGCCCTCGCACACAGGTCGCTGTCAGCTGGCATCCTCTCCATGTGAATGGAGGGCGCCGTGGAGGCCCCTGGGTGCCCCGGCGCCCGGGAGCGTCCCTAGGGCCCTGGCGAGTCAGGAGCACAGACCCTGCTGGCCCCCCAGACCAAAGGGGATGGAGGGGCATTTCTCCTGTCTTGATTCCCTAGGAGTGGGTGTGATTGACTGAGCTGAGCCTCCGTTAGTCACAAGACGTCAAGGTGGCCCTATGCTCCTGGCTCTGTCACTGCAGGCGCGTCCCCCGGGAAGACTGGCTTCGGTGGGCACCTGCGGCCCCTCCTGTCCCGTACATGCTCAGGGCTTGCTCTTGATGACGTTTGCCCTAGAAATAACCTCGAAATGATTTTTAAAGAGACAACATTGTAGCAAACGGACTTGTCTCCTACCAAAGTGTGGTGACGGGGAATAAACCCGCGTTACTCCCTGTTGTCGAAGCGCAGCGTGCTCGTAACAGACGCAGCAGGGACCAGCAGAGCTTGAGTCACAGAGGCCGGGTGTCTCTAGGGGCTGACGGACACTGGCCCTCAGCCTGTCCCTCCCCTGAAAAGCCTGAGACAGCGCAGGCAGGTGAGAGGCACCCGAAGCCCCCTGAATGTGCGCGAAGGCGGCGGGCCAGCGTCCACCGCAGCCCGAGAGCTGCAGCTCACCTCTCCCCGCTGCTTCGGTGGCCGCCCTGGCCCTCTTATTAGTCAAACTGCTCTCTTCTTACTGGGAAAATCTTAAATCTTACCGCGTTATTGGGGAGCTGTTGACTCTAGAATGACTGTCACATCAGCCTGCCAGGCATTTTGTGAGCCTGTGACACACTGCCTGGCACTGAGCGAACAGTCGATGCAGCAGACGTCACGTTTCCCAGGACACGGATGAAATGTCCCTTTCATTGACGTTTTACCGTTCGTTAATGTTGAGTCGCCTTTTGTGTCTTTTAATGCATAGTAAGTTCTTATGCTCTGGGACGTCGCGTGGGATGTTACGGAGTGGCAGGGACGGCTTTCAGCACGCAGGGCCTGAACCTTTTCCGTCACGGGCGTGTGGGACAGCCCTGCCATTATCGTTTCCTGTTCTGTGGTTTTTCACCCTGTTACTGTTGCAAATGGTCACTTTCCCCGTGTGGGTGCTGCCTGGCCTGACAGTTTGGGGACGTGGAGCTGTCAGCACACCCTTGAGGGAGGAGCCTGAGACTGTCCCTCCTGGGGACGTGGCAGCAGAACAACTGGTCCCCAGCCCAGCTCCCTGGCTCTGCCCCTGCCCCCTCCCTCCACCCCCTCGTCCCACAGGCTCCTCACCTCCCGTTTCTTCTGTCCGAGCCACGAAAAAAACGTGGGTGCGCCTCAAGGCTCAGACGGAGGTGATTAAAAAGCCGCAGAGCGAACGAGTCCAGCATGTGCGCATCACAGACAAGCTGCTGTCAATGGAAAGCCCTCCCGAAGCGTCGTACGTGGAGTAGAAGTCACAGAGACGTGGCCAGCACGTTGTCATCTGTCACAGCGGGGGGCGTGCGGGGGGCGTGCGGGCGAGGAGCAGGCTCGGTTTCGTCAGGATCTAGATTTGCACCCAGGAGCAGGTTTTCCTGCTTTCTCAGTCGCATTTCCTGCTTCGTGCGTGAACACTGGGTGAGCCGTTCACCCCCCAGACGCCGTCACGTCACCGTGCTGGAAAGACGGCAGCGTGGTGGGTGCTGGCAGTCTGACGCCGAGTCCAGTCCCTGCCCAACCGAGGAGGGGTGACAGGGCGAGGAGGACTCGGCTCCTGCCGGAGAGTTTGCCCCGGGGCGCTGACAAAGCGTCTTGAGCCCTTCACCTCCGCAGCTGTCTGGCCTAGATCAGGCTTCTGCCGGACGGACGTCCTGGAGGCCGCTGGTGGTGGCCGTCGCGCGTGTGGCAGTGCTGGGCATTTCAGGAGCCATAGAATGGGAACAGGGAAGCGATGCTCTGTTTCTGTATTGCTGTTTCACCAACTGTTCAGCTGGCCGCCACCTCCGTGACCTCCACGATCCCCGTGGGTCTCGGCACGGACGGTCTAGAGCAGAGTGACCGAACGCGCCAGGCCAGCAGTCATGCGTCTCCTTTTAAGGCTGGTAAGCCACAGAGGGGGCCAGGGCTCCGGGCTCTGCCGGATGAGTAAATCCTGCTTTTTCTCAAGCCACGAGCATGTCCTTGGGGCAAGCGTGCAGGAAAGGTAAGCATGGAGGGGACCAAAGACCGGCTTAATCAGCTGGCAGAAGTGATAGGCAGGGTGCTCCCCGAAGCCCAGGATGCCGTGGCAGAGCCTCTGTCTGTGTTTAGGGTCACGCTCTGTGCGATGACTGTGAATTTGAAGCTTGCTGTAGGTGACAGGGACTCTTGTGAAGTGGGTGCAGATAAGTCCGTGAACATCTGTCATGCCAAGGAAGTGAGTGAGCTGTTTGGTGGAGTTGGGGGGTGTCGTTCAGAAAAGCTTGGTCTCAGTTCTTAGTGAGGAAATGATTCTGGTGACGTCCCTGGATGGCCTTTCAAGCCGTCACAGTTGCCTTAGGCGTTGGGACCAGATCCCTTTCAGGAGCTGCCAGCCCAGTCGGGGGGTGAAGAAGCGAGCACCGGTCCCCCTGGCGGAGATGAATGCACAGAGCCCAGGTGGGGGCGAGGGGCATGGGCTCGTGGGGCTCTGGGTTCAGGGAGAACTCAGCCAGAGGTGATGAGGGGGGAGGAGACTCCCCCCCAGCCGAGTTGCAGCCTTTGCGGGCAGAGGGTGGAGGCGCGGCCAGCACAGCACAGGCGTGATGGTGACGGTGACGCCAGTGAGAGCTCGGAACTCCCTTCGGGTCACCGTCCCGTGCGCACTGCCTGCTTGGAGGGTGTCGGGTCCCTCCCCTCCCCCGGCTCTGCCGAGCTCAGCTGTCCTCGGGGGAGGATCTGCATCCCTTCGCCTAATGATCTCAGTCACCAAAGGGTCAGTCAGCACTTGGCACACAGTGGGCACACTATGGTGACATTTTGTCAAAAGAATGCACAAATGAACTGACAGCACGTGGACGCAGGCCCACCCCCAAGAAGCACTTGGGGCTCCCTCGGCTTCTAAGGACGTTGGGAAGAGGGACAGGGAGCCATGGTGTTTTCGGCCACAGCTGCAGGAGGGAGGGCTTCCTCCGGGGGTGCGGGACGAGAGGGGCGAGCCCCTGCGTGTCTGCAGCCCCCTGGGGCAGCCTTGCGAAGCCTTTCGCTGTTGGTGAGCTGCTCCGAGCCAGCTCTTGTCAGCTGGCTGTCCTCGTCACCGCCTATCGCCACCACGGAGGGGCTGCTCCGTGTTCCAGGCTGCGCCACCCCAC